CCCGCGCACGAGCTAATTTCAGGCTTAGAAATTTTTAAAGTGAAAGAAAGTTCTACTAGTGGCGTTGATTAAATCGGTAGGTAGGATAAAATAAGTAGGTAGTGAAAGTGAAAGTTCAACTAGTTCAAGGAATGTTTGACGTTTGACCGTTTTGACGGTTAAGAAGTTTTGTTTACAGTATTCATTCAAATTTCAAAGAGGTTATGGTCGTTATGGTGCTTGAAGATCTGTTCAGCAATTGCAATTAAACCTAAAAGAATGTATTAGAAAGTTTACCAAACGCTAAATACCTTCCTTCTGGACCCGCGTTTGAACGTAAGTAGGTTTGACGTGACGTTAAAAGAGTAATTTAAACTTTAAACAGAGCGAAAAAGTCTGAACGATTTTTTCGATTTTTCTAAATAGAAAATCGATTGAATCGATAAATCGCCTCTCACAAAATCGATTCAAAAAAATCGATTTTTTCTCTGAAAAAATCGATTCGTCAGAATCGAATCGAAAAAATCGACATCCCTATTATTTGAAAATCAAGTTTAGGGTTTGCAGACAAGCACTCAATGGAGTTAGCTTCCGAATAACAGCATGGAGTAAGTACAGAAGTGGTACATAGTTGCACCGCTGTGATCACCGATCGCGAAGACCCTTCTCTGCAGGACGATAATATCAAAGCGGGAAGTGCAATTGACCTAACCTCTTTTAGTTCGACAGCTCATCTCATGCCAAGTTGTAATTATTCAATCGGTTTGCTATTGTGTGGTTTTCTGTTTTCTTCTCTGCATAAAATTCATTTACCATTAGCTAAATTCATTCCTGGTGAGTATCTACCCGCTTGCTCCTCTACTCTTATGTCTACTACATTGTCAGCGTACATGTTGTTCTCTCCAAAAAGGTGCAAGGTATCACTGAAGAAATTGTTTTAGTTTGCCTCCTCCTCCGAGCCTTACAATATTGTCATTCCTTTTTTCTGAAATTAAGTTGCGCTTATACAAGTGTAAAACAGTGATAAGATTTCATCCGAACTTGATGTTGATACTCCTCAGACACAGGGCCCTGTCGATAGGGGCTATCCTACAATGCTAGACAGCAGGCACTATAGTAAAAAACATCTGATTTTATAAGCCGTTCTCGAAAGCTCTGATGATCCTAACCAAAGCCCATCAGGAATTCATCTGTATTTTGTCTCCAGCAGGATCGCCTGAAACCATTTTGTAATCCCACTTGATATTAACTGATGCGCTAAGGTAAATTCGAAAGTTGATGCATTTATAATGTCCAATGTCAGTAACTTACCGCGCTGTATAACAAGCAGGAATGGAAGCATCAGTAGTTCTCTAAGGTAGATTGGTGGAGGATTGATTGGACGTGTTGTAGATAGTTGGTCGAGGGGGCTGTTCACTTATTGGCAGGGCCCTTACTCCCCAATCTTTTGGGAGGAAATAATCCAAATTTTGTCAGTTTCAACCACTTTGCACTTAGATGCTAATAATTTGAAGGCCCTGAAATAGTGTTCAGAATATCAACAATTCAATTGCGTGTGTTTCAAGGCAGGGCAGAACATTACTACTGTTGCCGAATAGCAAGGATCTCAACTGCTGAACAATCATAGATCTCCCAGCTCTCCTCTATCTGGAATAATGCGTCATTCTAATAATTATTTCTCAATGCTCCGCCGTTATCTCGTCACTATCAGAAGTGACTGATTTGTAGTTTAAGACACTTTCAGTGCAGGACTTCGAAAAAGAGCCATGTAATGAATGTTTCAAGAAGTTTCACGCAAGTCCACGCCATATAAGTTCACCTTCTCTTCGAGTGTAACTCACAGTCTGCAATCTTGATTCTTGCATGAACTTTCAATGCTAAAATGAAGACAGGTGAACCTTTAGGGTTTTTCAAAAGTGCTGAAACTTATTCAGCGTGGACTCTGTTGAAAACCTATTTGATAAGTTCATGTTCTCACCGTTTTGTATACTTCTTTATTTTTAGGTTCCTTTGAAAAAGTCTAGAAGTTTAATAGAGGATAAGTAAGATGGCAAAACGAAAAGGAATGAAACCACTCAACTTGGACTGCTCAGACGACAGTGAACCAGAAGAACCCGGCTCTCCTGTGCGAGCCAGTGAGGCAGAACTGAAGAACAGAGTCGTCAAAGTTGCACGTAGACGCCTAACGAAGCAACCACCAGTGAGTAAATAATTATTTACTCTCAAATAATTTTTTACGAGATCGTCAAAATGGTTGTGGACTGAAGTGGTTCTATGAGTCAAAAGTTGAAATTACTCTCCTTAAATATCACACTATCATTCTGTTTTTAAAATAATAATTTTAAATCGTTTCGAACAGTAATGGTTACACTTTTATAAAATGAGTGAAGCTTATTGACGGTTGCATATTTATAACGCATTACGTGGTGCACTCCCCACGGTATCTTGGTTTGCAATATTGTAGACTTCCTGCCATACTTTATTTTCTAAATAGAAAACTACTCAACTTTCCTTGGAAACTTTGATAGTTTTTTAATTTGTGAAGAATATTCTCTGAAAATTTCAAGCCATGATTTTAGTTCAGTCTGTTTTTAAAAAATAAAATAGGAATGGAGATTTTGAAGTTTCACCGTGGATATGTTTTAACATGAAAATGATGGAACTACTATGATGCTTTACTCTTACATTCCTAAAAAAAAAAAACATGCCTTTTTGAGTAATAGAAAATTAGAAAAATTTGTTGTTATAATATTCCCTGTTTATAGGCAGGTGGAGTTTTTGGATCCTTAAGTGCTGCAGCATGTCTCAAGTCGCAACCGCAAATAAATCTGGAATCAACCTTCGCATTCCTCAAGAAAGGTGGTACAGGAACGTTGGCGCCGGTTTCTGGCATTGGTGCTTTTAATGCTCTCAACGGGAATTCATCCTCAAATGCAGAGAAAAGTATCCAGTCTTCCAAAAGTTCTACTCCGCTCCCTAAAACTGATTCATCTTCTAAAATGGCAAGGACAGACATCGTTGAACCAAGTTTGAAACGTGATAACAATCAACCTCCTGTGAAGTCCAACCAATCTGTGTCAGCCAATGGAGACGAAAAGTAAGGAACCATTTAAATTGGTCTGTTTTTGACAGATAATTCAAGATTGTATCTCTCATAAACTTTCTAATTCCTCTTTGGTCAAACGAGAATGGGCCTGTTGCGAACTTTTGCTAGAGCAAAAATATGAGTTGTTTCTTATAGATAATGCCTCAAAAATCATGATGAGCGCATCGGCAAAGTCTGAAATGCACTCATAACTTCACAATCTGCGTAAGAAATTTGCGTTTTTTTAAGCTTCCTGCTTCAGAAATGATACTAAGTACGGCATAGGTGAACATTTTGTTAGAGGAGTCGCTCCATCGTCGGCGATATTCATCATGGCCGACGCTTGCACGCAGTTCCGCGCGTAATTCAAGGAGAGTTCAAGGTCAATCAATTCGGGCGTGGAAAATATGAACGTTAACACACCGATTGTTATCTGGTCTAATCCAGTTCAGGTGTTATCTCGTCCCATCAAACGTGTTTTGGCGGATTGGCGTCGGCTATGATGATTATTGCCGACGATGGAACGACTCTTCTTACAAAATGTTCACCTGTGCCGTAGTATCCTTTTTGAAGCGGGAAGCTCAAAAAACCGCAAATTTCTTACGCAGATTGTGAAGTTATGAGTGCATTTCAGAGTTTGCCGATGCGCTCATCGTGATTTTTGAGGCATTATCTATAAGAAACAACTCTTAGTTTTGCTCTAGCAAAAGTTTGCAACAGGCCCATTGTGTCTTTTATTAGAGACAGAGATTAAAGATTAAACCCTATTTTAATGAATTATTAGGTGTTGATAAGTTACCAAGCTGGGTTTAAGTTGGATGAAATTCCCTTCTGAAAATCTCAGAAAGTTTCTAATGGAAGAAGTATTAATTTTTTTCTCTTATTTATTTTGTTTTTGTTTATTTTTTTTGCGCTATCAAAACAAACGATTAGTGATATTTCAAATAATAAATGCTCTCTACTTGTACTGACAGGAAAATAAGCCATAAACTCTCTAATACGCACATATTAGAATTTACAGCTTGTTTCTTCTCAAGCACATGTTCAGAGTGCTAGAGGTGGAGCACCTAGATGCTACAGGTGGAGGGAGTTTGGCCTGTAGAGAGTAGTTGGGGAAAAGGAGAAAAGTAGATGAACAGGTTAGGGATTGGCTCGATCTAGTCTGCAAGCAGATGGGATTAGCCCTTGAGGGCTATTTAAAAAAAAAAAAGAAAAAAAAGGGGGCCCTTCATGAGTGCAGTGACACTGAATTGTCACTCAAAATTGCCAAAAATGGATTATGGTCAGTATTTGCCGGAAGCATTTCAAATTGAATATTTTCAGTTATAATATTTGAATCGGTTTTTGGTAGACGGGCGTAAGTCCAAAAATTCATGAGACCTGACTTTTGTTAATCATGCAGGACGCCAGGGCTCATGAGTTTTTGGACTTCCGCCTGTTTAACAGGAACCGGAAAATCATTTTTGTATCAAAAATTGAATTATATAATCTGTCTGTCGAATGCCGACTTTCCTCACAAGGAAATGTAAATTCCTAAGGCAAAAAGGAGCCAGATAATGATAACTTGCAATGCTCTTTGCCTAGCTTGTATCTTTGCAGCCCATACCACCAGCCACCAAAGAATGTGAATTGCCAGCTCTTGAAAAATCTTCTCTGCTGATCTAGTTAATCGCGTTACTTACAAAGATGAATCAACAATTTTTCCTTCTTCATTTTGTTTCAGGGTTTCATCGTCTGTAGATGTTAAAGATCTTTGTGCAAAAGATTCAACCAATCCAATCCTTGAGCAGGTGAAAATTTTGAATATTGAGTGTCTCCAATGGGCTCAACAACATATCGATGAAGATCCCATGAGTGATCTCAGGCCTGTCTTTAAAGATTACAATCAATATTTTGAATCGATTCTGCAAGAATATCACAAAGCTGAAGGCAGCAAACCAAAAGAGTCGTAAGTGTTAAAACTAGCATATTTCAGTGTAAATCATATTTTACGCAAAATTTCAAAGAGAATACATGGTACAGAGGTTTTTGGTTTGCACCTAGTCTAGTCCATTGGTGCAGTTTTCAAATTTTGGATACTTAGTTGATTATTTTAAGATTTTCAAGCTTTACTTTGCTCAGAGCTATGGTGTCAACAAACTTGAAAGTTCAGTTTTAGAAACATTAACAACCCATTTAGCCCCTAAAGCTAAATCTCACATGCCTTTAGCAAAAATGAGTCATACTGCATTACTAGTGTCCAGATGCAAAGCTATTAGACTATCTTTTTAATTAATTTCTGATTTCCTCTCACTCATGTACTTTCATAATAATTAATTTAATGAAAAAAGTTTGAATTCAAGTCATCTTGGCTCACAATGCATGTAAAATGAAAAGATAGAAATTAGGATAGGAATGCAAGAAGTATGTTTTAGGTAAGGAATGTACACCAATTTATATTCAGTTAGTCAGGGTTCTTAATTTTTAACCTGTCTTTTTGCTTGTATTTGAGTTTCCTCCCATTTAGTTATAACTTAGCATAATTTTCGTATTATTTTTCTTTCTCTTTTTAGAAACGCATCATCAGAAACTCTAGCCAAGCTTCAAAACCACATCAAGACAAAGAATCAAGCAGAAAATAATAAAGATAGCGATAAAACGGAAGGTTCTAGTTCAAGTAACAATTTTTACAGCCCAGACTCAAATGCTGAGATAAAAAGCAAAATCTCTCAAAGCCTAAATCGCCTTAGCTACTTTTCATCCCTCCTCGATAAAAATAATAGTTCTAGCGAAACAAATTCTGATTCGATACCTACACCTCAGGTTTCATCACCATCTATCCAAAAAGCTCCGGATGCCACTCCAAAACTATCCAACCCGATTAGCTCACCCAAATCTGAATCAAATAAAAAAGTAGAGTTTTCATTTGGTCGTCCCTCTAGTGACTCTCCAAAACCACCAACTTTCCCTATCAGTTCACCCAAATCCGACTCAACTCCAAAAGTAGATTTTTCATTTCGTCGTCCGTCGAGTGATTCACCAAAACTGTCAAATTTTGCTGATTCAGCAGACAAGTCTGCAACCTCTGAAACAGCTGGAGGCAGCTTTTTGAAAATGCCAGCCGTAGCAAACAACTGTTTCTCTAATCCGCAACCACAGTCTTTCACCAACTCAAATTTATTCGCCAAGGATTCGGCTGATTCCAAATCCAAATTCGGGTCTATTTTTGGGAATACAGCTCCCACGCCTTCGATCTTTGGTTCGACTCCCTCACCATTCGGCTCATCGAACACAACTGCGGAGGCTTTGCAAAAGGACGAGGAAGGAGATGATGATGATCAGCCGCGTGTCGTTGAGGTCAAACCGATGATCGAGGAAGGAGCCAAGTACACCACTAGGTAAGACTTCCTTCAGATGTTCACCTCTGTGCTTCTACAACCAAATCCCTCTTTAAGTTCAGTAATTGCCAGGCAATTTTCTTTCGTATATATCATGAGGCCAAAGTTTTCTTCATTAACCCTACGGGGCCTTATCAGGAGGATATCGATGGCCAAAGTGCAAAACCACTCATCTCCGTTTGCAACGTTGCAGAATTCCTGTCATACGTAATTTTTTCTATGGAAAAATAGTCGACGTAATTTCTCAAAAACCTCCTTGATTTTTCCTGTGTGTTGGAAGAATATGCCGTAAAAATTTCAAGCTACAAAGGCTTGTTCCTCTTTGGAAAAATAAAAAAGGAGCGGAAATTTTGAAAATGCAATGGATTTACATCGTTTTGCACTTTGGCTAATCATTTATAAGTACTTGTGTTGAGGCAGATAAGATCAAAGTTGAAAATCCTGCTATAGCTGGTCGCTAAGGCATGCAATAATTTTATAGGGGGTGCCATCTGGTGGTGATTGAAGGTTTTAAAATTTACTAAGTAAAATAAAAAATCAGAATTCAACATGCTGAAAACTAGCATCCTAGCACTGTGAACGTTAAACTTCTGCGACCTTTCTCAAAACCATAAATATTTAATAGGTTGAACCAAGAAGACACAGAATGGACAATTCAAACTGAGCAAGATCTCTGCTCCCTTGAATGTGTATAATTTCTCAGGTTTTGTATGTTTTCTCTCTTTTCTGCAGCAAATTTTTCAGATTCATAGCTTATTAAATGAAATGGTTTATTTTGCAGGTGTAAGGTTTTCATTAAGAAAGAAGACAACTCGTACGGAGACAAAGGTGTGGGAACCTTGTCTTTAAAAGGCCTTGAAAACTCCAACAAATCTCAGCTTGTGGTGAGAGCAGAATCAACTCTGGGGAATATTCTTGTAAATGTGCTACTTTCAAAAGATCTCCCCATCCAACGCACTGGAAAGAATAACGTCCTGATAGTTTGTCTGCCCACCCCTGATTGTGAGCCACCTCCAAAGGTTGTCCTCTTGCGTGTAAAAACAGAAGATGATGCTGATAAACTTTGTGAAGTGTTGAAGAATGCCCAAGCGTAAATGTTCAGTAAGTAATTGTAGAATCCATCATCAGTAATTGTACATCACAATTGAACATTTTGCTCGCAAACTGCAAATTGTGAGCTGCTTTCAATGGTTGTATGCTCGCATGTAAATAGAAGTGTCAAAATCTGTAGAATTTATAGAATTCTGAGAAATTTTTTGCACATGGAAACAACTTCACAAGATTTGTTTACTCTCAATGTTATACATTTTTAAAAATAATTTTTAAGGGAAGACAACGGCTTTGGTTCTAAGAACATGCAAGTATCATCTTTTTATTTAATTTCTCTAATGCCCCTAAATTATAATGGGCCTGTTGCATGCAAGAGATACAGCCGTGCGAATAGACTTTTTAGAGGTTAAATGACATGAAAATTACGATGGTCACATTAAAAAAGTCTGAAATACACTCCTTACTGCGCAATTTGCGTTGTTAGAAGCGCGCTTTTTCAAATTTCCCGCGTCGGGGGGCAGTTTTCTTACGGAAACAATTAACGGCAACTCGCGGCTATTTCCGGTCAACTAAAACTGACAACATAACCTAAAAATCGGAGCTCGTGATATCGTGAAATGAAATGTAGAAGGATTGCGTTGGATATTTAAAAGTTGATCGATTTGGTGACCGCATAAAGCGTATATGGACCACTATAAGAGATCACGTTAGGTTTGTGAACAAACTGAAGGAAAAAATAACAACAACAACAAGAACAACGACGATTCGGCATCTTCCGGAAATCACCGAGCCCGCCGTTTGCTCGTTTCCAGTGATTAGAAAACTGCCCCCAAACGCGGGAAATTTGAAAAAGCGCGCTCCTAACAACGCAAATTGCGCAGTAAGGAGTGTATTTCAGACTTTTTTAATGTGACCATCGTAATTTTCGTGTCATTTAACCTCTAAAAAGTCTATTCGCGCGGCTGTATCTCTTGCATGCAACAGGCCCATTCAAAAGACTGCTGTTTTACTAATTTTACTATAGGAAGTTAAATTTTTTTAAAACCAGAAAATATTTTCCAGGGCTGTAAAATTTCCAATGGCGGATTTATTAAAGTACTCTGTAAAAGGGAGAGATCATAACTTAGATCCTTGAGTTGTAAGAACATTTCAAGGGAAAATTGTGAGCAGATATGCTCTCAAGCTCTCTGAATGTAATTTGTTACACATGGTTTAAATGGTAGTGATCGCAGTTTCTACCATTAATAAAAATTATAATTTTAACTAAAATGTTGTGCGCTCAATTGATGTTCTTTGTACACTTTTTAAGGTTGTTAAAAAGTCTAATGCTCCTCCAAACAAAAACGCTTGTTCAGAAACCTCACAACTAAAGGGCATATTGGCTAGAAAAAAATATTTCAGTGATGGGTTTCTTTTGGATAAGCATTTAAAAATTTGCTGCAATGTCAGTAATGGATATGTTCAAATGAAAATAAAAAATGAAAATTATTCATCGATTTTTTCTTATTTTCTTTCTTTTTCCATTTCATTAATTTTCCCTAATAAACATGTAAATTATGCAGACACTCATCATCAAACTTCCAGTAAACTTTACCAGCTCCATAGGAATAAATAAAATCAACCGAATATTTTTTCTTTTTGTATTTGTGTTAGGTGACTGGGCGATTTTCAAATCTACAGAAATTACGTTTTTTACAGATACCTACACAATAATTAAATAAAAATCGATACATCAATAATGAAGTTTTTCTCTGCAAATTCTCTATTTTCCCACATTTTAACACTACCTGGGGAACCATTTTTCTCTTAACTACGATCAGAATGGAAAGTTGAAACTGAACTAACTTCCCCTCAACCTGAGGATTGCAGAGCAGCCAGCTAATAAGACTAAAATTGAGTAGTAGGTCTTTAAAGTGGAGAACCGAGAGACGAATGTTCCTTTTAATGTTTCCGAGAACACAGTTCCCTCTAAACCAAGGCAAAACCCAATGGGCCCATATGAAGCCCAATGAGGGAAGGAGGGGATCAAAGAATGTCAACAAAGTGCATTACATACTTTATGAACGCTACCATAGACGCTATTAGTGCCATGTCACAGAATATATATATATATATATATATATATATATATAT